GAATCAGAGAGTAAAAGTGGCTTTTCTAGACCTAAACCCTCATCATTTGTGGAAAGAGTAAGCAATTTGAAAAAAATGTAGGAATAATAGAGCGGTAATGGGGCCATGGTTTAATTGAGTGTCAATTTTCTCCAAACACTTGCCACTCACACACAGAGGTATGGCGGATGTTTTTTGCAAATTTTGTTCTTTTTCCGCTTAAATGTCGCCTTCACTTCAAATTAGTTTGCATTTTTTGGAACAAAGATAGCAAGCTAACATGTGTCTCTTGAAGATGTAAATAAAATTTTAATTAGATAAAGTGGTTTACATTAAGGATTAAACAGCAGAGAATAGGTCCTTGGTAATTTTAAACGCTTCAGAGGTTGTATATTAATAGATGGCTTGAAAAATCTAAATCCATTATGAATAATGTCGCACATAGAACTTACTATTAATACATTATATTGGGTCAGGGATGAGCGATAGACTTATCTCCAAGTGGGCAACGTATTTTCATGCGGCAAAAAAAGTCTATGAACCGACAGTTGACTTCTCACTTTAAACAACCATTACACCACTGTATGTCATATTCCACCACTTCCACAGTACTCACCTCATCTTACCTTTTTCTTTACCTCTGTGTCTGTCTCTTTTATATCTGTGAATCACTCTCCTGTTCCCCCTCCCTCTCAACTTTTTCCTTTTGATGTTCCTTCTCCTCTGTGAAGCCTGAAGTCAATTAAAGTGCTACTGATAATCTTTGTAAATCCTGCCATTTGATATAAATAAATTTTGTATCAATTTTGATGTGATCCGAGTGTACTGTACAAAATATATCTTTAATTGGCTTTTCACTATAATCCAGACGTCTAAATATCATAGAGTCCATTTGACTGGCATCCAGGATTGTTTTGATTTTAATATTCGAAATAAAGCATTTGAAAAGCAGCATAAAACAGTTTTTTGTTAATCTTAAATAGGCGATAGAGTTTTATTGTCTCTGCTAAATTATTTATAACGATAGTTCGTCGAAATATTTTCCAGAATTTTAAAGTACTCTAATTCCTGTTGCAAAGTTGATCGCGTTGGACTAAGAACTTTCTTACACAGCCCATCAAAATTCCATCATATATATATATATATATATATATATATATATATATATCAAAGTGAAATCAAGTGGAGAGGGGGAACAGAAGAATAATTCAAAGATGTTAAAGAGACAGTCAGACAGGCACAAAGGCAGAGAAAAGGTAAGGTGGGTACTGTGGAAGCGGTCGAATATGACATACAGTGGGGTCAGTAGTCAACTGCCGGTTAATAGACTTTTTTGCCGTATGAGAATACGTTGCCAGGGGTGCACCACGCGGAGGTAAGTCTATCGCACCCCATATATATATATATATATATTCCTAAAGTACATGCCCTCTATAGTATCCTTAAAAGTGGACGCATGGCCGTGAAGAAATAACTTTGGTTTAGATATGTTGAACTCTGTGGAGCAAACAAACCCGACCCGATTAAACTAAGCAATTTTATGCGTACTCGAACATTCGGGAGGGTGCGGAGAAGTTCTCAGATAAACAGGCATTAAAGTTCATTCACGCTATGTTAAATGAACTCAGTTATTAGTCATGTAGACTGTGAGCTACATAAATGCTCAATATATGCTACACGTCTGTTTCTTCAATATCGTTGTGGCAACTTAAGTAATTTCGGGAGCCTTTCCATACACAATGATATTTTGTCGTAGTTCTTATTAAATGAATCGTATTTTGTCTCGTAAACATTTAAAATGTAAGTGAAACGCAGTAACCCCTAGATACATAAAAGTGGCAAACTTTGATTAATGTGGAAAATTTTGTTTAATTTTCAATGTAATTATGTCGTCATTTCTTTCTACGACAATATAAAATTACTTGATTGCCCCCATTAAGCAGGAAATAAAGTCGAAGTGGCAATTATATCCACGAAAATCTTTTCAAAAGTAATGCGGTACTAACGAGGACTGTATGCATCTAATTAAATGTTCAAGTAAAATTAGTGTGCCTTCAAGGGGAAATGAAAGTTGCTTTCATCCGCGTACCAATTCAGCAGACTTTCTTTGCTTAATTCTGCCTGCAAGAAGATTTCTATCCACCCCACCATCTTCTATTGGCGGTAGATTAGAAAATGTACCCAACCGCACTTATGCGTGTCTCTCAGCAGACTGAGGTCACCGACATGATGAGTCCTGGTGGTATCAGGCGAAGGCTCTAGACGCATTGAGCATGGTTCAAGTGGTCCTGAAAGGCGTTAAAGAGTCGATCCGTAGTTCAGTCACATGTTCTCTTTAATCATTAAGCCCTCTAATCTTCCTATTTTCTCTCCCAATAAAATCGTCCTTCTCTCTGTCTTCTACTCGTCTTGTGGTTGGTGAACTCACACAGATGGGAGGGATCGTGCCTGGGCTTTCGCTTGCCTGACTTTCCACCCAGAGTAGAAGTAACGAATGATTTCAAGAGTTTTCTTGCGACCATTTCACCATACTTCACATCGATTATCAAACAAGAAATTAAAAGAATTAGGAAAAAAAATGAAGACCTAAGTACTTAATTGAGAAAACTCGAATTGAGATTGCCCTGTCAAATGAGAAACGGTAAGATTTTTTCGTACTCCACTCGTTCGCAGGCTATTCATGTGTGATGCGGAAATAATGCAAAGCAAGGGAGAGCAAAGAATGGATGTGTTCTTGAAATAATCAAATAATTACAAATAAAAGAAATTCAAAGTGAAAAAATAAGAACACTGCTGACGAAAATAAAGCTTCCTTTTTAAAACAGCAGTGAAAACGAAAAAAACGCCATAAAATCAAATATTATTGGTAATCAATTTTTTCATTTCTTAATCAAGTAATTTATCAAAAAATAATTTCAAATTTTGTTGAGAGCATAGATGGACTGTTATATAAACTTAATTAGAGGGGAACCAAGTTAGTTTACCTAAATATTTATGATCACATGATTATTTATGTTATATGTAATTTTTTCATGCAAATTGATTAAGGCAGCATGTAATTAGCTCTGATATTTATCATTATAACATGCAACCTTTAGAAAAATTCATGTTTGCATTCACAATTGTAATATTTTCATAATCTTTTTTCACATTGATGTTGTCTAATTAGTGAGTGTTGAATTTTACAAAGAAAAAAAACATATATTTAGATTAAGGTAGCCTGTAGTTAGTTCTGATATTTATCATCTTTACATATAACCTTTAGAAAAAAACCCCTGTTTGTGTTCAAAATTTATATAGTTTTTTCATATCGATGTGGTTTGAATATTAAGTGTTGAATATCAAAACTAACAAATTATGTATTTAGATTAATTAGAATGAAGTAAACTTATTATTATTTTCCTGGACCTGAATTACACTTCTTCGAGGATTATTCTTTTCCTAATCGTTAACATATCTGATTAAACTCTGTCTTGTTAATGGAGAGCATAGAATCCGAAAGGCGCAAATAAACAAAATTCTAAATAAAAGCATTCTATGCGTTGGTATATTACCACAATTATTATCAGAGATTCTAATTACCTTTTTTGCCAAATCTGATAGTTTTTATAGTGCACTCCCATGGACAGCTGACTAATAGCGGAACCTGCATTATCCTAGCCAATACGAAAGTGAATTAACCCGAAGGGGGGTTTAAATCTGTGACCCCCGACTTGTTTTATTTGCCATTTCAACTCAGTACAGGCACCTTAACATAGAATGGAACATAATATGTCTCTCTGTAAAATAAGTTACAAAAACTTTGCAATTTTCTTTATTTGCTGACACAGGCGTCGATTTCTCCCCTCCCCTCCCCCCCCCCAAATTCCCTTGAAAAAGTATAGAGGTCCTGAGATTGGTTTTTGAAGAAGTATTTATGCCTGCATCTTATGTTTTAAAAGCGATCTAATTATCCTACCAAATTTCTAATAGAAACTTCATACAACGGCCTCACATATTGAGAGGGAACATATCTCTACATTGGTGGGAAATCTAGACTTTGTACATTTAAGAGGTAGAGCAAGCTATTTTTAATGAAATATAGAGTTTTTCTGACCAGATATAATTGCTATGCGTCCTCTACATGTATCAACTTAATGCCTATCACTCAATTTACTAAGATTGACCTAAAAGTGGGCAGAGTAGAATTTGTTAAGTGGAATGAATGAATTTTGTAGCAACTGATTACTCTGAATTGTGTTTCGGCTTCGACAGTTGTTCATCAAAGAGCAGTGGACACAAAATCGGTCCAGCGCCTGTCATATCTCATTTCAAATGTTAACCCCCATCCAGTTTATCTTTACTCAATACTGGCTCTTTTGCCACTTACCTATATCAAATCTTCATTCCTACCTCTTCTCCTCCTCCACCACCTCCTCCCCTCTCTCAGTCATTTCCAAATCTTCTCCCTCGTAAAGGCTGTAGGAAGATTATTTATTCAGTGTGCTGGAATCAGGTCTCCTTGGCTCAACCCCCCAAGCAGTTTTATTGGCAGAATTATTTCATTGTTATTTAATTTCATCCAAATTGAAATATAAGCTAACAACTGAAATTAGAATTACTTGGTTCTATTTAAAAGCTTCCATTTAGAAGGACGTCCTTCCAGGCATTTAGCCTTTTTTAATCCACCCAGAAATCATAATATTTAATTTTTTATCGATTTTTTTCAATTCTAAGGCCAATGTCATGTTGAATAATCTCAAAAAATCACAAATGAACGAACAGCCCCATAGGTTAAATTAAAGACTGATTTATGAAATTATTCTATTGTTTCAGCTTAAATGTTTAAAATGTTTTAACACTGAAAAAAGTCGTTATACGATCAAATGAAATCATCTGAATTTGTGCAAGGAGAAGAGTAGCTGAATGTTCCGGGAGACGTGATGAGATGACGGTGAAGGTTACGTGTTCAATAGACCATTTCTTTGATTCGCTATCGTTTAGTTCGCAAAAGCATCTGTAGAGGTGGATGCGTCTGTAATTTAAAACTCGTCATGTTTCACGGAACGGTCAAAGTGCTTTGCGGTGAACCATCTTTTCGTTCTTTGAAGAGAGACGTTTTCACAAATAATGAGCTCGTAGAGAATGCATGCACAAACGGAACCAATTGAAGGTCCAACGATATAGATCTAATGGATACAAAAATGAAATTCGAAGTCTCTAAACATTCCAAAAATTCCCCGTCCATCATAAAGTTTGCAGACCAGTTGTTTGAAAGGAGTTTAGGGAGTAAACACGAAAGTTGGTGTCTTCAAACTGTTAATGACAGTCATGCTATCTGAGAAAATGCAAAATACGAAATGAACAGACATACTGACTTAGTATTACTGCCCATGTGGTTGCAAAATTTCTTTTTCAGTTATAAATGTATCTCTCCAAACGAGACAAAATAGGCAAAAGGCATTTTTAAGTAGACTTGAAAGTTGAGTGTGATTAACGTGATGTTTAAATAACACTCACTGCAATGTTCCGACTTCTCACACCGTAAAACACTAAGACCATTTATTTTTGAATATTCAGAAAAGGTGCTTAAAAACCTAAACTGTGCTTGAATTAAGAATTGTTACTATTCAAAATTTCTCATTTTCGACCCAGATTCTCATTATTCGTAAATATATACATTAAAATATATTTTTTTAAAGATTCTCTGTTCAAAGTGCTGATTTCCAACTTTCAAAGAGCGAGCGAACTTCCATGAATCACGTCAACGCTCGTAGAAATGTAATTAAATAATCGATTTGGCCAGCTGCATTTTATGCTCATTAAGATTAATTGCTTATTCAATTACTTCGAGAACAGGTAAAAAATCGTTATACAGATATCAAGACCGCTGTGAAACATAATTAAACGAATGGTTCAGTTGTCTCTTTTGCTTTTCGTTATTTGCATTGAGCACCTTGAAATAAATCGAAGAGCACAATTATGTAAATCATGGCTAGACAGAATAAAGCTTACATGCTTCGATAAACATAGCTTAGGAATTGCAAATGTGGATGTTTTTTAGAGAGCTTGTAACTTGAAATCGAGCCTAAAAGTGACTTTGGCTCCGTGCTGAATGACGGTTGTGAATATTTTTACGGTTAGAATAGCTTCTCTTGGTTGTTAGAAATGGGGCTGATTGCTGGATATAATTGAAATAATAAACGGTTCCGTGTCAAAAAGGTACAATTGGCACCACTAAGTTTAGATATTTGAGGGTCAATTAATACAGCCTGAACTTTAAATCATTGGATTTTGAAATGATGATTCATAGCCTTCAGGTTGTGAAAGCCTCTCACAGGAACCCAAACGTCCTCATCCTCACCTACTAATTGACCCATCACATCTTTTCAGACTATTAGAACTTACCTTAGGTTTGTTCCAACGATTGTGCTTTTAGTGAAATAAAAAAACATAAACAATTCCATTTGAGATTTTAAGAAATTCTTACCCAAACATGATCATAATGATTTTGTATAATTGCAGCAGACAGACTTCTCCATGGATTCATGCTTCCTCCAGAAATTGGACCCTAAAGTAAGTATAAATCGTTTTTGTAAAAAACAGTTGATAATTATTCGGTCAAAAAGTAAATGATATAATAACTGCAGGCGATTTATACAATGCATCTTTTAAACGCATACTTGACCATCAGAAGAATAAGTTTCTGAAAGTGACATTTTCAACAATAACAAAGGTAGACTTTGAATACTTTGCTCAACATTTTCTAAGTTCCTTTTCTTGCGCCTATTTAAGCACAAGAAACGGATATGATTGAGACAAATTAGCTAGATGGAAACATTTCCCAGAATTTCATTAGAGAAATCAGAATGAGTTGTATTAGCTGATAATATTTGCTCAATTTTGGCCACATTGCAAATTGACACCTTTTTAAACATATTAAGTTTAGTAAATTACATTAAATTTTCTGTTATGATTATGTGAATATTTGAAAATCATTCCACAAATGAATGTTGTAATGTTGTTTAAGTCAAGTTCGATATAAGTTAGGTTATGAAACCAAATCGGGTTATATTAATTAGAATAAATCACTAATAATGCAATTCATTTTTCCTTATCTGTGCTTCAATGCAAGAGAATGCAGAGTTCTTGAGTATATGTACAAGTACCGTGAGTAACGCCTGTATGAACTTAACCAGATATCTAGAGAAAGTGACAACCGCTGACAATGGGAGAACAATACCGTGAAAAAGACAGGACTTTCAGTTTCGAAAAATATTAATCTCTGGTTAAAAACGTGATGTGCATGCAATAATTGCGTTTTCAATATTTATCTGTAATAAGCTCATTCAAACAATTAAATCGATGAGAAGGATTTATCAGTTTGGCTCTAAAATAGAACTAAGTTAAACCTTTGACCTTGTGAAATATTGATATTTTAGACAATATTGTAATTTAAAGAGGTAAACTAATCCGAAGATAAGCTTTATCACCTAGCACTGACCAATAAGCTCTTAAAATCACTCTTTAACTCAGATAACAAATTTTTAAATTTGAAGCATTAGAATCTGATGCACTGAACTATGTCCATTTGAAGTGCAATTAGATAACCTCCTTATGGTTAATTAATTAGTTTAAGTTATGTACTCTATATTTCCACTATTTTTTGCCTCCATTCCTTCCTAATTACACTAACTTTAATTAACACGTTTCAGGATTGAATGAATAAAATTGTCGTGATATAGGTATAATAGTAAATTACTTATAAAATAAATTAAACTTACACCAGCAGCGACGCAGAAAACAACGGCTAAGAGCATTGCAATTGGAAAGTTATTGCAGTTCTTCATTTGCCAAACAGCGTCCCGAATCTCATCCAAAGTTGCCAAATAAGTGAGGACAAGAACCATTGTGATGATAATTTCCATTCCAAGTGCATTTCCAATAGATGCGTCCGCGGAGGGTAGAGTAAGGCCATAGGTACTTGGCAATGTCGATAAAGAAGTATTGAGTCGATATGCTATTGCCATGGAAACCAGAGAACCACAGAGCTGTGCTACCAGATAGACTGGAATGTAAAGAAGGGGGAGGCGTCGGGTTATAGCGGAGGCCAAGGTTAAGATGGGGTTCATTTGTCCACCACTGGTTGGACCGACAATCCAGATACCAAGATAGACTGCACAACCACAAATCAGAGGACTTGCAAAGTCCGGTGTAAGCGTTGCTGGTGGCAGTAAGAAAGCCGGGAAACATATAATTCCCGCACCAACACATTCACATACGAAGATTTGAAAAATTTTCCAGACTAGAGCTCTACCTTTTGGCATCTCAAAGTTGTGCTTTTGGAGTTGCTGGGGATGTTCTTTATCCTCAATCTTATGAAATGCAAAAAAATATTATGGTATTAAATTAGCAGGAAAAACAAAATCTTGCAGTATGCTAATCATCAAGTTAGAATACATTACCATATTTAAGATGAGTTCAGAATTGGCAATTTTTTGACAAAATGTCATATAATTAGCTGGCCAGCTAAGTATTTATATTTCGCAATGGATAGCATGTAAAACATTTTTAAATAAATTTTTTGTTAATACAATCAAGGGGAAAATTAAATTGTTCAGTAAAGTGCGAATAATTTAATTTAAAAATTTAAAGTAACAAAACGGTGGTTGATTAAAAAAATTTTTAGAAGTGTGTGTGTGTGTATGAGTGAATAGGAAATATTTTAAATTTTGTACCATCTTGTAAGGTGAACTGGCAGCGATTTGGAAAAACAAACTATGGGAAAATTTGCAAAGTTATGGTTGTATTTGGTTAAAACAAGCTAGTAATTTACTTACTAAGTCTTGTGACTGGCCTATCTACGTCACAACTGCTGGATTTTTTGTAAGTTAAACATTCAAAGTCACTTGTTATATCACGAATTAGCCAATCAGAAAAGTGCAGCATCAATTTGAGTGACCATTAGCGTAGCTTTGACGATTAAAGGTAGAAGACCGCAAGTACTGCGATACACCACTTTTGTTTATTTATTTTATCGACTACCTTTTACTTTGAAGCTTCGCGCTCAACACTAATGTGAAAATTGCATCGCTGAGCATATTTCTTGCTGGAATGCAAACACTTTTGGTTATTTAAGCATAAAAATGTTCCTTTGTTCATAAATTTACGATTGTTAATATTTATAAGCCCAAACCTTGCAGTATTCCCTTCGAGTGTTTGGGAACGTTCTAACTGAATTGTTGTGAGCAGTTTCAAATTCCGTTGTGAATCAACTCAAGGAGGAAGTTCAGCATAACACCAACTGATTTGTATTTGGATAGTGAAATCAAAATCGCTTACTAATTTTGTTGACATGCCGTCTTAGGCCAATAAAAGCTCCAAGAATATGCATTAACTCGGAAGATGTGGCAAATAATCTGGGATCATTAAAAAATAAAATAACAGGAATGAACTAGAAAATCCAAAGAGCGAATTTTTTGAGAACTTTTTGTTGCCATGACATTGGTTCCTATTCGTTTTAGGACCCCTTTCTCTAATCTCTTCTTGTCGGCTTCTCAGGTACTTACATTCAAAAGCCTTTCTACTACATAGAAGTTAGTAAAAAATAATTAAAACATTAGTTTCCATGTTTGATAATACAATTATCAGATTAAGTCAGTTAAAATGTTCAAAATGAACCCCAGACTTCGATAAGAGAAAATTTGATAACTTCCCAAAGGTTTTTATAATTAACCATACCACATGGAACGGTAGCTTCAACTTGTAAAATATCGTTCTGGGAGTTATATTCAATGAATAACATTTTCTTCTAGGGGTGTACGATAGATTTACCTCCCTGGACAACGTATACTCATACGACAAAAAAGTCTATCAACTTGCAGTTGATTTCTGACTCCAAACTACCATGTTCCCACTGTAGGTCATATTCGACCACTTTCACAGTACTCATCTTACCTTTTCTCTGCCTTTGTACCCGTCTGTCTCGTTTACGTCCGTGAATCACCCTTCTGTTCCTCACCCCTCAAATTTCTGTTACTTTGATGTTCCTTCCCCTCTGTGAAGCCTGAAGTCAACTAAAGGGCTAATGATAACTATCAAAGCGCTTGCTATTTGATATAAATAAATA